TACTACAAGTTCAAGATGTATACTGTAACTACAGTATAAATTAAATTCATTACAACTGTTAGTTATGCAAACAGTGTGTTCTGCAATTTGTGCATCTATACAGGTGATTTATATTAAATCCATTCTCTGTGCTTTTCAGTTTGAAAGTAGAGATTTCTGGAATTTACACATCTCTTGACAACTATACTAATGCATCCTTCTAAGGACAAATTTAAACTATACCTTTTAGCCCATGTGAAACACTTGTGGAGTACGTAACCATATGACTGTACACTTTTTGGTAAGATGCTGAAATTAGAAACATTGTATATGACTCTTGTTTAAAACGATTTATGTTTAAATACATATAACTTCCGAGTGCAATTTGAAATACACTATACTGTTGGTAGCTTCGCCTTCTCTCTGGCCATTTCTGTCTACTCGCTCCACTCAAATCGTGTTGTATTTTTTTCCCTTCACGTTCCCCAGTGGAACATAGGGCTTCAAGCTAGTTGGCTTGAAGTTTCTGTAGCAGTGTTTATTTTACAGGATGGGGTTGCTAGCCTCATGCCCAACCTTTCCTCTTTACCAGAATTATTTCTGGCTTAGCGAGGTAGAGGAGTGCGTCGGCCGGGGATCGAACCCCGGACCAAGCGTCCTAACCACTATGCCACCGACGCACTTTGAATTTATTGCAGGAATCTATTATCCTTATCCGAAGACAACTCTACAACCGGAACACAGCTTCTATTAATAGACACGATTCCAACAGTCAACGCTTCTGTGGATTATATAAATAATTTGTAGCAGTGGACTTTAAAAACGTATCCAAGTAACCTATTAATCATTATAACTCATTACTGCATTTTGATAATATATCGTTGTATTGCACTCTGATTGACTTGGATTTTTATTCGCATACTTGTTATGTTAATGAACTTGCTCTAGACAGTCCCCTACACACTGTATCTGAGATCTTAGTGTCACAAAATACAAAATCTGTTTAACAGCGTTCAAACAACTTTAACGAAATGTGCAGTTTTCAACAACAAAGACAAAAAAAAATACCCGATGAAAACGTGATTTAACATACCTGTTGTACATAAGTAAACAATTACGTGTTGACAAAGGAAACTAATGTAACAGCATCATTAAGTAGGATACAGGTAGAACCTAGGTAGGATTTGATGACAAACTCAACTCTCAAGAACTAAAGGCCCTCAAAAAGCTGAAAAATAGGAAGGACATCGTCATTCTACCAGCTGACTAAGGAAGAACAACAGTAGTTGTGGATAGAGGAGAATACTATAAGAAAGCTGAAGAACTACTCAAAGACGAGGATGTATATCAACAACTCCCAACAAATCCCATACAAACATTAAACAACCGCATCCAAAAAGCCTTAAACAAGCTCACCAAAACTGGTCAGATCAAAAAACAAGACCAATGGTGAATGAAATCCAATGGACCAGTCCTACTCCGATTCTACGGCAGACCCAAAATACACAAACCATATATCCCGTTACGACCAACTGTATCACTCCAAGGAACTCCAACATACAATTTATCCAAAGAATTATACAGAAAACTGAAACATCTAACGGAATCTTGTGATCACTCCATCAATTCTGCTATCCAATTTCTAGAGAAAATCAAAGGCATCCAAATAGATGACCAAGAAATAATGATATCCTTCAACATCACAGCATTATATACCTCAATCGGACAGAAACTAACTAGCAAAAGAGACCATGGGGCAATTACTTAGCAACGACGGACACCTCCCACAACAGATAGAAGCAGATGATGAGTCCATAATAGAACGAAATGTGTGCCATCAACCAAATAACACTTATGGTCACTTCATCAAGGTGTGGCTAAACCAAAGTGTCAATATAGACTGTGCATTTTGGTCCAATAAACTCAATCAACGGGAAATCTAAAATAATTTCAATGAATAACAAATAAGACCTGTTGCACAAGAAATGGATATCGATTCCATAGCCTAGTGGATAACGCTATAGCAATTGAGACGACGATAGGCCTATCTAAACTTACTGATAAATGAACTTTCTTCCCCGTTGACGCCTATCATTGGCATAGAGTCAATTAATCATTACAATTTACTCGTTGATACCCGACGATGACGACAGACAGATAGAAGTACTAAATTATTTACCATCTACGTGGGTCAAAGTTTATGACTGGCTAAAAACAAAACTATAACCAATCTAAGGTTTCAACCAACTGTACACGAGTACCAGGAATATGACTGTTCAACAAACGATTTGCCGTGCATAAACATCAATGTTCCGTGTCGTATCTGAATCACAAGACCACTTGTGTACACAAAAGCCTGGCAACTACCTTTGGACAAACCGAGACTAGCCAGGAACGAATGACATCATATACTCAATCTTGATATTATTCGATCGACGAATACTCCGTGAGTATCCCGGCTTCACATGGTACCAAAATAGGTTATAATTGAATGACGAACCGCCAGAACTGTTTCACACTACCACTGACCACTACATGTCCAAGACTCCAAGACATTATTTGGCATGACTATATTTTCAAAAATAGACTCGGTCAAAGTGTACAAACAGACTCTGATTGCACCAGGAAACATTGCGAAGACAGTTATCACTACACCTTTCAGATTGATTAAATTCCTGCACATGCCATTCGATCTTTGGAATGCAGCATAAACATTCCAACGCCTTATTGGTGAAGTATTCCACGGCACAGACTTTGTACGCGTGCACCCAGACGACTGTCTCTTCACATATTCAGATAACGAAGCGAATCTACTGCATTTGGGCTTGACCTTCCACAGATTGGGTGAACACAGCTTTACTGCGAACATTCAAAAATGTCGAATAAAGGTGAAACCATTTAACATCTTCGACAATACTAGTGATCCACAAAATATGCATCCACTGATCAGTGAAATGAAGGCTATTTGAAACTTTTTGAAGCTGAAAATTGAGTCTCAGCGGTAACACGACCAGTAACTGAGATACAGCCACATTCAGCTGACGAGTCTCAAGTATGAAAAAACGCGCGTATCGGATTCTATTCATAACCACTATTGACCAAACAATGAATCTACTGCAGTTTATGTGCGTGCATATGTAATGCAGCCCCAAATCGTTAAAATATATTCACTAACAATAGTCATCCCCTCACCTGCATACCACGCAGCATGACAGCTACAGAAAAATGATTTAGAAATATGAACGTCAGATCGTGACGTGCATTACCTGAGTTACCAAAGCTATATAACCAATCTCTCTGTGTGTGTAAGGAAAAGAGGTCTAAAAGCGTTCTCAAAAATGGATAACCGTACTGACCGGTTAGAGACCACAGGCTTTATTTTTTACACATTATTTTTTGCATGTTACAAGGCTATAAATTAAGTTGTGATGAAAGAAGATTCACTTTTCTAAATTATTTGTTTGAAATGTCTTTCAGTGAATCGCTTTCCCATGCCCCCCTACTGTATCAATGAGAACGACAATTTCTAAATTGTCCAAACTCCCATTTAAATATTGTGACCCACAACAGTTCAAATGTAGTAACATAATTTCTATATTGCATAATGCCAAGTCACGGAGGTAAGAGTAGAATCCCCAGTTACTTTATTTTCTGCAGAGTCCCAATACAACGGACGAACACTTTAAGAAGTATCCGTTTTGTCAGTATATACTTCGTATACCTTATTCCATCAATACATAATCGTTAGAGTACTATATCATGCACCAGAAGAAATTGTACGAATGTATTACTTTACACTAAATTAGAATCTACCAACGAACAAGAGCGAACTGGAATGGAAATATTATTTACACCCATTAAATTCCCTAGCAAAGCACACACTCGAAACGAACGTACACATAACATAATGAGGCATTGTTATTGTTAAATGCTAAGAGTGGTAACGCAACAATAATCTAGGTAACTTGAGTTTACACAATGTTGTAAATATGTACACCTCGTAGCCTCAATCCAAAAAGATGAACAACGGACTATGAACAACATATTTTCTGTAATTAATCCGTAAGACCAATGATCACATCCCACTACTGTATAAATTAAAAGACCAGAACACGTTTGTTCTTCCCATTTGTCATACATCAAATATTCCACAGCTTGAACAATAAACGTCACCTGTCAATCGATACTACTTTACTGTGACATACCCCTAATAGGCAAGTTGAGGACTACTACAGAGCCTGTAAAAGTCAATTCGCTTACTTTTATTTCCTTATAATTCCGAAATGCCAATGTGAAAACCGATTTGAATTTTAAAAAATAGGACCACTGATTCACAGATAAATGACTATATCCACCTGAATTTCTACAGACGATATCATATTTAGGCCTGGAAACTTGCCAGCAATTGAGTGAGCAGCCCAACTTTTATTCAGAAAACAACTAAAAAACGTGACTGGTACATTCATGAATAGCGTAGGACCTTGTCTTACTATACATTAGACTCTTCGTAACTGAGTTAAGAAAGTAACTCAGCTAACAGAGGTAACTCTCCGTCTCAGAAGTTTGAAACCTCTTCATGATGAATTAAACAGAAATGGCACAACTTAATCAAGTAATGAATATGATCTCACTCAAAATATGTGGGCGTCAGACACGACACGCAACAAAAGCCAGTCTGGACTACATTTATAGACAATGTCCACCACAATTAAGGCTGGTGTTAACAATAACGAATACCATGAGATTTAGAAAACTCGGCAGAAAAATCCTCCAACGGTCCCTATTCTCATACTTAACTCTCTTCAGGTATCTTAGGGCTTCTTCCGTACTAAAGTCTGAACACCGGCTACACTGCACTTACCAATAGACGATTACGAAATAAGCATATAAGTACATCGAAGATATCTATACCATCAAAAAATAATGTCGATAATTCCATAATGGATAAGATTTTATTATGATAAATCACACACACACTGTGTGATTTGTCAAAATAAAATCTTATCCATTATGGAATTAAACTCTACCACAGTGCCCAAGTTTTATACTTATATCAATAATGTCGATATTTTTAAGAGGATAAATGGAACTTTACAGAAAACCTTGTGCCATAACACTTGACCACAATCAGTTACATACATGAGAAATTCTATATATTGAATCCTATTAGTACAGTGTCAAGCGAAATTTCTAAAATATCACATACAGAGGCTGGGTGCGTGCCAACTATATAAATAAAGGGCTATCAACGCGCCTTACTATGAAACAAACGTCAGGGGGCTTCAGTAAATATTCGCAACTAATTACACCACTCCTAACTTTCAAAATACAAACCAACATTTTGCAGAAGTATTCACACAATACTTGTTTTTTTGGATACTTTTTCTTTTAAAGGATCTGAATAATAACAGATTAGAGTAGGAAAGCTTGAAGATAATAAGAAATACTAGAGACTCACTTCGACAAATCAATGAGATATCGCACACCAAAACCATTACACTACAAACATCACAAAGGAAATATTTAAGATAAAAGATGAGGGAGGGACTATTTACAATGAGCAGATTCTTGGAATGAGCAGGAAATAATAATGGTACAATTCAATTGAATAAGGTTACTAATTAATATGGGTAAGCTGAAAAATGAGAAAACCTAACTTTAAGTCTAAATTTCACACTTAACCACAATGGAAGACAGAGCAAGTGCACTTAGGGAATGGACATATGGAAGCTAAAAGCATTAACATTTTTGTCGAATACATTTTTAAAAGCATAATGATCGTGCATATCAAATTTTAAAAATGTCCGAAGATTGAATTGCGGACAACATAGATACAGTAAAATGACAGGCACAGCCTGAAGAGAAAGTCATAAAATGTGAAGTTTTGTATCACAGGCGGCAAGGTGTAAAAATTCACTCAGTACTGGCGATATGCGCCTCCTTAAGAGATTATCTTTGGAAAGCGAATACGCCAAAATTTTGGTTGAAATTACAAAAATAATCCGGTCACTATAAACAGAAGGTTTAAGGCACAAAATATGAACTTACAGATAATGCATATGCAGGAACTACTGACTAGACAATTGCTAGAACTGTACAGTAAGGTCCAGCATAGCATTGTGAAATAATTTTTTTAAGTTAAAAGACTTCGTAAATTATTGAAATGAATTAAGTAAGGGTATCTGGGACAAAAGGGACTTTACACTGTACATGAGGTTATCAATATATAGTCTGGGATTAACAAAGTCACGGCTGACTGCTCGTAGGCATTCGTTTTCCCAAGACTAAGTTACCTCCAGATTGCTGTGGACCTGAAGCAGAGCCATGGTTAACATTGATTTGAGATGCGTGACCAGGTGGCGTGTTCATCGTGGTCACACTAGCACTTGAAGTAACTGGAGACTGGTGATTTGAGTAGGTATGCAAATTACTCAACGAATGTCCATGGTTGAACATTTTATGAACAGCAAAACCAGGCACATCAGGTGTAATTGCCAAAGCAGGAACTGCCCCAAATGCTGTAGGGAATGAGTGCGACGAAGTCACCGAATATAGTGATCCATTGCCAGTCGGATTATTTGGAACCGATAAGCTTGAGTGGGTTTGTGTAAGTGCCACATAGGGTTGGTAAGGAGCTGACACAATGCCGCCACTAGTACCGGAGGCTGTGTTGAGCGGTATCCACATCCCACTTGGATGCGCAGAAAGAGGACGACTTAGTAATGAGTTTGTACCCGGTGGACAGCTGATTGGAGCAGGAGCGAAATAAGCGTTAGCCTGACCAGGATGAGCACCTGGAATAAGTTGAAGGAAAACAGCAGGGTTAGGAGCGCCTGCAGAAATGTTGTTAGGATTACCGACAGAAGGTACATATGTCCCAACAATGGGGGCGGGATTACCTGGAGTGGCAAGACGATAAAATGCGGATATAAAGGATGCTGTGTTGGGGTCCGTCGGAGGTAGGGTTGGAGTGTTAGGTCCAGATGCTAACAATCCGCACTGATTGGCAGCCGCAGCAACAATTGCAGCAGCCTGTTGCTGGGAATAAAGCTGAGGGCAATGAAAAGATGTCTGCTGACTTGACCTTATGTTAGACTGTGTCCCAAGGTCAGTCTGATAAAATGGAGTCGTTATTGTCACCTGTGGTTGTGAGACCGAAGAACTTGGATACACCATATTTGCTGGCGAAGAGTTTGTCAAAATCCCCAGGTTGTTAGGAGTTAGAACGTGGGCTGAAGACTGAACATAACCTGAAAGTGAATTGTGTGTCATTGTGTTAAGCGGCTGTGCCGAGACAGCCAAAATCTGAGTTGTAACAGAAAATGGTGTATTACTACTATTTGCAGAAACGTGACTGCTTTCGAATGAGTGTGTAGAAACTGCATTAATAGCCGACAAGCTTTGACTAGAAGAATCGATCACAGGATGTGCAATAGATTGGTTGGAAATTGAGACATGTGCAATATTAACGCCTTGGTCAGCAGCGGAACTTGTTAGAACAACGCCTTGATGTGCTGAACGTGCGAAACTTTCTGCAGGTGGGGAGCAACCTTCATTTAGCTGTTTAGTTAGCGTTGTGCAAACACGAGTGATTCCGGTCGGTAAGCCATCGGCAGAGAATACAACCATTAATACACTACTGCTTGAGACAGCATCAAGCAATTCAGATTCAGTAGTTGATACCCAACGTAGTCGATTAAACTGCAGCAGCTCAGAAATAGGGCAAACATCTTGGTTGGCAGTCAGTATCGAAAACAAGTGGGAATCACGTTGCAAGTTGCTATCACTAAAGTAATATTCTCTGAAAAGAAAGAAGGAATGAAGGTAATCATTGATTTATGAGTAATAGCTGATATAACAACACTTATTAAAACATATCACCTTAACACTCACGCAGACATTCTTCAATGAGTCAATAAACAAAACTATCAACACGTATCCTCAAGTGGTGTGACACACTCAAAAATTGAGAATATCGTTTAGGGTACTAAACTGCAAAAGCTACAGAACACCCAAGGTGCCTGTAACTATTAAAGCTAACATGATCATAAAATAGGTATTAATGGAAATACAATAAGTCAAGCATATTCTTAGAAACCTTTTGATCACCTTACATTACTGAAGAGCATGAACACGAAGTCAACTGGAGCAATTACTTTGATTTCGGTAGTATGGTTACGAGATTAAATGACTGAATACTTACTACAGCCAGTAACACCATGAGGAACTGATAGAAGAGAGTGAGACAAATCAAACCTAGATTTCCACGACTGCACTTACGTAGATGATGAATCACGAATCACTTAACTATGCTGTCTACCTAACAAGACCCCTACATATTGAATGAGGTTAATTTTTCAGTTACATTTAACTTTACTGTCTGTTATAACGACGATAAAGCGCAAATGACTCGCTTGCGGTGGTTTGAAAATTGCTACTTGACACTTTCTACTTTCCGTTACCTGGATTAGTTGGAGATGAGGATATTTTGGAAAATAAAGTTGTAGGGGTTTGTGTTTCCAAATAGAAAGTGAACTCTGAATGAAGATATAGCTTAACAGCTAAAATACGAAGTCCAAAGTTTCGAGGTAATTTTCAGCATATATTACAGACATTCAAGGTACTTAGGCATTTAAATGCTTATCAGTAGCTTATTCCTAGTTGAGTTTCAGATTCGATGCGACCGTAGACGGAATGACCATACTAACTTCGTAATCCGGAGAAGCAAAGGCATTCTCTCACATTTGATAGCACAGATAGGAGAAATCACTGATGTGAACTTAAAACACTGCTAAACACTAATATTCAACTATATGACCACCGCCAAATTTAATGTTAAAACAACACTGAACTTACACATGATGCTTAATATAATCCAACTTCGACAGAAACTTCAGAAATTTCGTTCGATTTACATTTCGTGGGACAAAAAATACACGGTCCTCAACGATGATGACGTCATCAGCCTTCATTGGTCTAACGGGAGCATCATCACTTCGTGTTTGTGTAGACGATGTGGGCATATCGTTTTTATTAGCTGCTGATTCCGTCAGGTCAGCTAAATCTTGATTCGTTGACCCAAGGGAATCCTTTATAGCTGCAGCAACTGCACGATGCTCTCGAAGACTTGTGGGGAAAACAACCTTTTTCCAGCCTACTTCATTGATATAAGCGATCACCTGCGTAACATCAACTACTTCAATGGTATCACTTGGTTGTTCGGCAATAGTAGAAGTCATGGATGATTGTGCATTAAATGCAGGGTGAACTGTCTGAACCGCCGAAACATCTGGGATAATAGGTATAGGAAGGCTTTCAACAGGTAGATGTGGAAGAGCAGCAATAGGATGCTGTACTGTAGGTTGGGCAGACAAGATCTGACTGCTGGCTAACGACACGTTAGGGATGATTGTATGAGAAGCAGGGGCTTGCGTGAGTTGTAAAGCCGTACCCAGCATTGTCGCAGGTGATCCAGGGATTATATAAGCAACTAAAAATTGAAGAAAAACTGAATTAGTGATCTTAGTGGTTTATTTTATTGGTGTTCAAAGGAACCACAATAACGGTGAACAACTCCAGGTTCATGCATTAACTTCGTTACTAGAGTTTAGTACAAATCTCCCCGCAAAACCCCAGTACACGATCATTTATTCTGCATCCCGCCAGTTAAGTGATATAGCTTCTCACTTGATTATCTAACCCACTGGCTTAACACTAACAACCCAGTAACACTGAATATGTATTAAGTACACAAAGTGATAGCACTAAATAAGCATGCGGCAACTGATGAAAAACATGACTGACCACCGGTCAACCCATCAAGATTCAATGAACTATTCGCCTTTTAGTTACGTGAGTTTTGCGCCGTATAACCACCCAGAAACTGTTTTATGAACCGACCTTTATTGATCAGATATATTTCTGATATTTTAAGTTTTTTCAGATGCAGAGACTAAATATAACTCATCACAGTATCATACTCGAATACATGTTAAGTCGTCCACCAACGGACAAATTAAGTGTTGGCTTTTTCTGACCTACGGAAAGATTGATTATTATCCCATACACTAGCCACACTGATCGATTGACAAATCAGAGATAGTGCACAGATGCGTCAAGGACTTCATCTTGTTGACCTCGCCTTCTAAAAACATACTTTGTTTTTCATCAGTGCAAGTACAGTTATCTGCGGCACATCCAAGATTACTTGTTCAGTTACTTATAACCGTTGGACCTGGTGATGCTTGGTGAGTTTAACAACTGCTGAAGGGAGCCTATGGAAAGTACTAGTGATAAGTGACCGAGTTAAAGCATCACTGGTACGAAAAGTAACTACCCACCTGTTAGATGTTCATCAACGTTCATTGACCTCTGCATTCAGTTAACTCGCCACAACTTGTGCACAAGTTAATGGCACTTCTCAAAAAACAGTAAGTGAGGCGGAACCACTCGTGACCCAGTATCGGGAACTCGAGTGCCTAACCAACGACACACAGCTGCACTGCAGACATGCTGCTGGTGTTTGAAAATGTAGCTGGGATACTTCGTAATAAACATGTCATGCAGAGTGGTAGCGTTTTACCCTGGAACATATATATATACATATATAACGTCTTGATAATGGCAGCTACTTGCATACTCATGCAAATCTACATCTAATCCATGAACATTTTACCACTTAACTATCTGCTAATCACAAAAATGCAAATATTGACAATACTAACTATAAATATGCAGGTATAGGGATTTTACTCACTTTGAGGTAGGGTTTGAAATGGAATAAGAGGCTGAATTGAGGAATTTGCAACCAACGTCGGATGCGAGTTAAGATTGTGACTGTCTGTTTCTGCAGGAAACATAGGTTGGTGTTGTCTCTGATATGAACGTCTGGCTCGTCCAACCGGACCCGCATCATAATTCGGTGGGATATTAGCTACCTGATTCCCTGAATGAGTAGATACATTAGATCTTTCACGATATCCTTTTCGAGGTGTTGGGCCGGAGGCGACAGATACTGGGTTTGATTTCGCCGTTGTTGGTTCTGCTTCCGTTTGCTGTCCTGGCATTTCTGAGGATTCAGCTGTATTTAGTCCACGATCAGAAACCTTTTCCTCATGGGGTGAAACGTCTGCACTTGATGGTGCACCATCAGCAGAAACACTACACGTGTCCGGGCTTCCGATAGGACTATTCCTCAGAGTAGGCTCGGTGTTTTCTTTTGACTCTGTGGGTCGAACATTAGCTGTACGACCGGGATGGCGGTAAAACCCGTTGCTGCTTCGACCTCTGTTTGCATCAGCTGCAACGCGACTGCGGTAACCCCCATAACCTAAAGAATTATGGCACTAACGCTGCTTACCTCTACGGAAAGACCTGCCATTGCCACCAGCTGTGTAGTTGGCTCCAGTGAATGGTCCGACAGTATGTCGACCACGTCCTCGTGGAAAGCCACATGTTGTATCATCGACTTCATAGTTTTGCCACTTCAACTTTCCTGATAGAACAAGTTAGTACTCAAAAGTTCACTCACTTTTAGGTTTCTCTTCGGCGATGCGAGTGATACGTCTTTGCTCTGTAGGTGCTGATGGTTCAGGCCAAGCGTCCGCCTCGAGCGAATTATTCTCAGAACTGGGGACTACTAACATACAGATGGTTAATAGACTAGCAAACATACTTGGCTTCCAAGGGTTTCCTTTAGAACCTTTCTCTTCATCACCATTAGCACGCTGAGTATTGGCGGACGAATCACTGTGACTTTTCTCCGGTCGCACGCTCAGTTGAGCAAATTTCGAAGAAAAGCTATCACTCATTACAGAGGTCTGATGATATCACCTGTGAAGGGAGAAACAGCATGTTTGTGGTACTACCTGAATATACACGGTAAACTTCTCATTTATGGTCAAAATAAGTAAATAGTATCAACAGGTATGAACAATTACTTTAAAGTAAGAGGAAAACGTACAACAAAACCTAACCAAAAATCCTGTGCCAACCACGACTTACCGAACCAACACAATCAAAATAATGTGATCGTCAAAGGAAGAGCACGTAGATAAACAAAATCGAAAATTTTTGGAGTATTATTTATAATTTACCTTTCCTTGAAGGATAAAAAATTTAATCTAGGACATCTTAGTTTTAAAACTTGTTCATTCTCACGACTCCATAATTTGTCCACTTTGTCATGAACGTCAATGGATGTTCCAATGAAAGTTTGTCTCCTATTGTTAAATCTGTAGGGAGTTATGTATATGGAGGGCCTTAAATTCTTCACTACTCTGAAAAAGATTTCAATACTTTGAAGAAATTTCTTTGAAAAGAAACTTCTAGTACATTCGGAGATTATGGCTGCTGTGCACTGGCAATGACCAGAGGAATGTTTTGAGCAACAACTGCACTCTCTATAGTCACAAAAAAACGACTGATAAACAAGATTTTCTGGCCCTGTCTACTGCAACAGTTAGTGTTATGTCTCTTAAGATATGCCCTCAGATATACATGACTAAAATCACTGAAACTGGAGACATTTTATCGATAAATTTAATACGAGTTTTCTAAGTATATATAGCAGTAAACTATAGTTAGGTAGTATGCAGTAAGCTGGAGGTGGGCAAGTGACGTTCAGCAAGATCGTTGAATTATTACTGAGATTTAAATATATGGACTTCTTTTTAGAGCGAACATCCAGCAAAATTTCCCATGAATTACCGCATGGATGTTCCCTCAGCCCCTTCCCCTGAATATTTGTCTATTTAACAAAATATCAAGTTGTCCGGTGTGTATCTCATCCTGATGATCTAAAAGTGAGAGAAAAACTAAAAAAGCCGACAAAGATAACATTGTAAATGCAAATAAATGCTTGACAACAGTGGCCTACAGCTCATCTTCGTTTGCCAATTCACAGCGAATAGGTGAACTAATAAGCAGGAGGCACGTGCTCGTGTACAGCCCCTACAACACAGTATGCTACAGCCGCTCAGATCTAATTAATGATCCAGTAATTCGACACAGATGTACATTAACATACCCAATTTTCAAACCTGGAGAATTAATTTGTTTTGTTTTGCCAGTCTTATCTTGCATATGAGGCACTCAGGTTTGCTTTTCCTCTTTCAGAATACAGAATGCCACTGCAAGCCTGAACTCACCGGGACACTACCTACGAACATATCTTGATATTCTATCACTACATGTTCCAAATGTTTTTCCTTCGTATGGGTAGTGAAGCACTCTTCAAGATGCAAGATAAGATGTTCCTTTAGCTGGCATCTTCTTTCCTCTCCAGCATTGCATGGGTCCCCAGAGGAAGGCAAGTAACAGCCACTCGCCGGTCAAAAGAAGGTAGAATTCTACCTCACCGACGTGGTGTTGTGTAGCTCTGATTTTTAAAGATTTCTTTAATAACTGGATTATGAATACCTTTCCATGTGTTTCACTTGGTTTCCTACTTTACTCACCTTCTGCCGAGCTTTCGAAAATAAGAGTCTTCTGCAATATTACGAATTGTTGGTCGGAAATCTGGGCAGTTATTCTGATAGAAAAGTATGATTTTAATCTCAAACACTTTCACCATTTGTTATGCTGTCATGTTACGTTTGGCTGTAAATATGCAATCCCTGGTTATCCAGTTGCGCAACTCAGTTCAGCAACATCAGTTCCAAGACATACTAGGTATTCTGTGAGGCCAAACGTTTATTCATACTCGGCATGCTAATTCATTCCGTTACACATCAACATAATTAGATGTAAATCTAGTATCTCGGTTCCCCAACTATCATATTACCATACAAAACATCTTTTAAAGTTTCCTTCTGGATGTGAATCAGGTTTTCGTGATCAAAAAATTCTTGAAGTACTTTGCCTATTTTCAGTCAGTTGTGTTTATCTGTACTTTTAGCAATACATATTGTTCAGTTTGATCATGCACCTGCTCTTTATGCTGGACTCAGCGAAAGTGGGGAACAGATTGGTTGGAAAGCAAAGACAGAGGGGAGTTTGCGAGCAAGGAGGAAGCAATCGATACTGATTTCGATAATATAATCAGCTATGGGTTACTAAACTGAGTTAGGCATAACAATAGACTGTCTTCGTACTCAAAAGTATTGTAAGCACCAGTTTATACGAAATTATTATACTATTTACATAATGTGATAGTCAATTTAACATCCATTGCTCAATTTCTTTCCGCGACAAACTATGCCGTGGGTGAGGATGGTACTATAAGAGGTATGTTTAACAGGGTTTTGGAGTTCGAGTGTAGGTTCACTCCATCCTCACCTCCGAAAATGATTGTTTTAAACCATGTATGAGAACAAAGATAATCAGGCCACCATGGTAATCTACATCAGATCAAATATCTCCCTCCTTTCTGTCAAATTCTTCATCCTTTCTCTAAATATTGCTCAAGTAATCACATATTTCTAAGACTACCGCAAGGAAATTTATGGTCTGTAGAGGTAGATAAGTCCCTAAAATTAATATGCCACTTCTTCATCAACATTTAGCAGTGGATGCTGACCTCCACTGCGCACTCTTACTCGTCAAACTGAAGGTACACAGTCAGGCACACACACCGTTTAGCACACAATCATGTTTCATCTGGTTAGTTGCGCACAGCACTTAGTTACTCATACATGAACCAATGCTCTGACAGTGGGATAACATATTTATTGTTTTGCTTGGGTTTGGTAAGTGTTCTTTGACCACGTCTAATACACACATTGGGGGAATAGAGTATCGAATACACGAACTGTCGCATTATCGTAATTTTTATTCTCGTGTACAAGATCAAAGAAATTCGTGAATCCGACTGGGCTGCCACCATTTCACTTTTAATGACCAATTCGCTTATCTGTACTGGCGGAGATAGGACAAGATAAATTCCAGGCAGATGGATATCCAAAAAACAAGAGGGTAGTCGTTACTTCAGACTTAGATTGTGCATCTCCATTTCCTCCTTACACTATAGTTGAACGAATGCACACTGGGGTAGTCGTAAGTGTTCTTTTCTGTTTTGGGTGAGGAGACATTAAAGGTAGCCCGGTCACCAGATCAGAATAGGTTGGGCGGAGGATTCGGTTGGGTATGCAGTCAAGGTGCGTGTGTAGCAGGATAGGTGGTTACACGACAGTCATGATAGTTTTGGCACGGAGTGACATATCCACGTTCCCAACCCCCAGAAGTCACACATGCTGCGCCAGGTAAAGGAAACAAGCACATCACACCACTAAGTTTCATCCCCCGAAACCTGATAACCCTTATCAGGTGCGTAAATTGGCGATTCTGGGAAGCCAATATCCCTCAAATCAACAGAATCACAGCGAAATTTTCATCAGACGAACATTAGTCACTTGTTTCGTACGGTCTGTCCTCTTCAGAACTGTTCGGTCACTGTGAAGTAGTCAATGACTAGGGAAGTTAGCAGGATGAGAAGAATAACCAAGCATGAGCCACATCTGCCCTTTGACTTCTGAATCCCTTTCCGCCTACTAAACAATGATAAAGGATCAACACACTTTCATGTGTTTGACTAAGCACGCCCATCACTGTACTTTCGAAAATAAACCTTCAGAACTTAAAACTTTCTCGTGCTACAATACGTGTTTTGGGTGAATAATTTGGGCAATTATTTTCATAGTATGGTCGGTCAGTTAACCGGTGAGCCTTATTTGTTCACAACACACGCTCCATTTCACCGCAGTCAACCCTAATGCATGAAGGTTTTTTGTTTTTTGGAGTTTTCCGATGTATATGCACTTTTAAGTGTACTTTTTGTTGTCCACGTGTCCCATCATTCAAAGAGTCTAATTTCAAAAACTTCTGCGGAGGTAAATTCTTCAGTGACCACAAATGCTAGTATGATTATTATGTGTTGGTTTACAGGGGCCTGATTGGTTGCACAATTGTTAGCGAGCTGACATCAGTTAGAGAACTACTCAAAGATCTGGGATTACTGGAGAGCTATTCATCCTATTTTGGGACTCTTCCTCAGCACACACAACCTGGAGTTCGAAAATAGTATATTACAGTTCCGAGGCAAGCCTGTGGACCATTCGGCCGCCGAGATCCGACCTAAAGACCCATGAATTCTGCCAGTCGGTGATATACACACATATATATAACGCGACCGCCAAAACAGTGTCACAAGCGAGTAGCCGCCTTCTTCCTTGACTTCGTGGACCATTAGGTGGGGTCATAGTTACTGAATGATTTACGAGCTCGCCTGATAACTGGAAAGTCCTGGGTTTGAACCCCGGGGGTGTACTACAGAAGAGCTCCCAAATAAGATGAAATCACTGTTCGGTTTTTCCTGGTTTTCAGAGGGTTCTTTAAGTGATGTCAGCTAGTGACCACCCCTCGAAGTTAGATTAGTTAAATTTGATCAATATGATCTGGAACTATGGCTGGTTCAACTACAGCAATACTTCGACAAGTATGGAACTAAATCTGGGATCGACAGATGCAGGGACGTGTGTTCTTAGTCACGTTACGAGATTAGCAGGGAGGTGCGAAGGCTTAAACTACACCGTAGTTCAAGTATCCGCAAACAGTGCTTAAACAAGATGTGGCAGAACGCCTTTTTGGTCCGAAAGTCGGCGCGTATCACAGTTGTTTCAAGGGAAGAGCGTGCATATAGATTTTGTCAATGTTGGTGAACACTGAATGGATATCCGGCGGCGCCGCTTATTCCAAATTGTTTCATTTTCTTTGGAAGTGATAGTACGTGCCGTGGCCTTAGCGGTTGCAGGCTAACAGAAGACCAGAGAGACACCACCAGAGGTATCGATGTATATTATTTTGACGTTTATTCGTAGACCTTTCCAGTGTATTTGTTATATCCGACTGGGAACCTGGTGAATAAACTGCTGTAACACTAACCTCGCCCTGCTGGTTTGTTGCTTGTTGGTGAATAAATCTCCGGCTTCCCGGTCTACCCTTAAGTATCAGTTGCGGTGAATTTGGGTTGGCTGTTGAATACCTTGATAATATTTTCAGTCATGGAGAGCTGTTTTCTAGCAACAT